GGCCCAAGTCCAAGGTGAGATGGTGCAGGGGCACACACCAGCCACCCCAGTGACTCAGGGGCTGGGCAGGAGAGGCCCAAGTCCAAGGTGAGATGGTGCAGGGGCACACACCAGCCATCCCAGTGACCAGGGTAGGGGGCTGGGCAGGAGAGGCCCAAGTCCAAGGTGAGCTTCAACAACTCAGCGAGATCGTGTCTGAAAATAAACAATAAAATGACGGGGGAAAGGGCTCAGTGGAGAGCCACCCTAGGCTCAACCCAGTACCAAAAAAGAGAAAGAAGGAAGGAAAGACCCAGCAGGCAGAGAAGGCTAGAAATCGCCCTGAGGTGAGCCTGTGACCCCAGCTGTGACCGACTCTACAGGAAGCTGTGCATGGCTCCTGCAGGTCGCTCCCTCCTGGGAGCCTCTGTTTCCTACTGGACCAGGTGAGGCCCAGGATCCCCGCCTCCGTCCATCCCCACCCCACCTTTGACTCAGTGGCCCCTAGGTACGGAGAGTGTCCACAGAACAGCAAAAGCAGGCATCTTGATCATCTGAAATGCATATGTGATGTTTCTTCTCTGCCTCAGAGCTCTAGTTTATGGTTAAAATCATCTATTTTAATAATTCAAGGTACACCAGACCAACCAGGAAATAAAGAAACAAAAAGAAAGCACTCAGAGTACTCATCTCCAATTTTTCATAAATAATAGCCACTTACCAAGGGAGGCACAATGGCAGCCGCTCGCTGCTCCTGCCTGGCCCGGCCAGGTGAAGGCCAAGCAGTCAGCACGGACCGTCCCTGGGAGGGGGAGGTGCTCCATTTCGTATTCTGCTCATCTCTATTTTAGAAGAAGACGGTTGACACTGTCTCATTGAAAGGAAAATGCACTCAGATTTCATCATCAAACAGTATTTATTATTAACCCCGAGGGCGTGCGGGGCTGTGCTGAGCATGCCAATGGCCACCTCCTGCCGGTGGCATTTCTGCCAGAACCTGGTCTCCTTGTGTTGACGCTAGAGGTGAGAAGGGCAGTGACAACAGATTAAAGGGATGAAAAATGGGCTTTGGAGGAAAGGTCACAAGGATTGCAAAGGTCACTTGGCAGAGGGGAGGTGAAGAGTGGCTGGTTCCTGTCCCCAGCCCAGGGACGGTTCACCTAGGAGCAGGTAGCTGACGCTGCAGGCTGTCAACCAGGGGAGGCGTTCAGAAGAGGTGCGGAGTCAGTCGCCAGTGGCGGGAAGCCCCTGGGGAGCCTGGCAATTCACCCTGAGGATGTTGAAGGACTCCCCGATGAGATCCCCTGAGGAAGGGACACCACAGGCCACAGGGGCCCGAACGGCAGCCCCACAGGCTCCTGGTCTGGGATTCACAGTTCTCCCAAGGTGCTGGCCTGGTCTCCAAGGGCATGGGTCCCTGTGGCGTGGTGTGACGTCAGGAGATTTTGCTGGAGTAGGCACCGAGCCCCAAGGGAAGCGGGGGACAGCAGCAAGTGGAACAAAGGCAGGAGAACAGGGTGTCACCACGTTGGTGACACCTGGCTTCGTGTGTAGTGGTGCAGATGTGTACCATCTGAGTTCCAGTGCTGCCACTATCAGTCACACCACCTAGGAGAAGCTACTTGGCTCCCAAGCCTCGATTTCTTCATCTGTATAATAAAAAATCAAGACTTAAAAGATGGTCTCACAAAGGTATCCTCAGGGTTATGTGACAGGCACAGCAGAGTGCCTGGCACACACAGCTGCCTAGAAAACAGCAATAAACCAACAGCAGCGATCGTCACTGTGGAAGAAACTAATTCAGCTTCTGCAGAAAATTGAACCTGTGTAAGATAATAATGGAAAGGTGAGGCCAGTGCTGGTCTGAGCCCTCTGCACCCGCGTCTGCCCGACAGTGAAATGCCCCTTGGCTCTGACTGAGCAAACAGCAAGTCTTGTGCATCCTCACCGAGCAGCCAGCTCTACCCTGGGCTCCAGAGCAAGGGGAACTCGTCTCTGCTGAGGAGCTGGGACAATGCCGTGGGGGACGTGGCTGCAGGAGGGCAGCTCAAGCTCACTGAGCCGCCTGCAGCCCCCTCCCCACAGGAAGCAGTCCTGTTCTGCAGGAGCAACACCAGGAGAGGCAGCAGGAAGGACGGGCTGCAGGCTGGGCAGGTGGAACAAAAAGTCTGCCTGCCACAAGCTCCACACCCCTGCCTAGTGACCCTTGCAGTCACTAAGACCCTTGACTGCCCAATGGAAAAAGTGACCCATGCGACACAGGGCTCATTCCACCACCCCATGCCTTCCTGTTGCCTGCACGGGCTGGTGCCAGCACAGTTTGCCAGGTCAATGTCTCCAAGTGAGACAAGGATGGCTCTAGTGACCCACACGGCCCAAACGTGGGCAGACAAACTGCTGTTCCGCCCATTCAGAAACCGGACTCTAAGACGGAGCTGTGACGGAGCAGGGCGCATGCTGGCCTGGGGCAGCAGGGACTTGGATCTGGTTCTGTCTACTCTTCTGTGGACCCTCTAACCACTCACCCTCTCTGGCCCTTACTCTCCTGCAAAACAAGGACACTCGTTCCAGGTCTCAGGCTGTCGAGAAGGTGAGCAGATCACGCCTTCCTTCATCCATTCACTGTCTGACTCATGAAAGAAAAGCAGAAAAGATAATTTGAGAATTAAAAGATGTAACTGTAAGATGTTGTTTTAGCCTCAAGTGTCCTCAAAGTGCACCTATAAAAATAATTATCATCCATTTTTACAAATACAGCTACCAGGAAGTGAGACTGTAAAGATAAAGTCCAATACTCAATAAGTAACCTGCTCACTGAGCCGTGATGATAGGGAACAATTCCCTGCCTTCACATAATTTAAACATGAACTACGTCTTAAAAAATAAATACATAGATCATTTTTCCATTATGCTCCTCTTGTTGTCTTTCAGTGCTGTGAAAAGTCTCAGATTTGGGCAGGCTTTTTCCCATGTGGTGATCAATAACACAGCGTGCTCAAGGGGTGGTCTCCGTGTGCCACTCCTTACCTCCTGAATACCACTGGAAATGAAATGGAAGGGGGAATTCCAAAGAAGATTGTGAGAGGCAGCTCTGGCAATCCCCAAACTGAAACGGGGGTGGTGCCCTCCGGAGCGGTCGTCCTCAGCCGTGGAGAACGAAGGCACCGACTCTGCGCTGCCCAGCTCATCCTAAGAGGCATCTGCCCACGTGGCCGAGCCCAGCGGGGGGAGACCTGCCCTTCACATGAGTCAACAACCTGGTTTAAGCCCCTCCCCCTCCCCCTCAGGGTCTGGCAACTGCAAACTCTTTCAGGTGAAGACTGGACGCCCATTGTGTCCACCAGGGCTGTCGTGGACGTCAACCAAGTGGGTCTCGGGGAAGCTCGAGACAGCTGTCTTCTGTGCCCACATCTTCATGGGATCCCTGAGGTCCACATGATGTGCAGCTGGGTCTGGAGTCACTGGCAGGCAGCGTGAGCGTGCCAAGTGGCACTTTTTATCTGTGTAGGAAAGCGCGTATGAGCTGGAGCTAAAGCCACCTGACCACCTGCGTCAGAATTTCCAGAATCTCAACTCTGGCCTCCGTCAGTCCATCTGTCCATCTATCAGGCTTCCTCTATCATCCCAACGAGTCTCGCACAGGGCCTTTTAGTAGATGGCCAATCTACTCATCACAGCATCACCTTGGAATCTCAGCCACTGGAGCAGAGCTCACCTCTCTGGGAGATTTGAACTCTGACCCTGCTCTCCTCCACCCCAGGGCAGCTGCCTGGTGTGGACAGGAGTGTCTATAAAGCCCTTCTATTTCTGCCTTTTGTAGTAACTTCTACCACTTAGTCTATTATGACCATTGGTTCTAGAATGTGAGGTGGAGTTAGATACACATTTCTCCCAGGCCTAGATCTGCCGGGAGCTCCCGCCTACATTCCTGATGTTGGCCTGTGTTCTCAGACACCAGTGAGGGAGAGCAGCAGAGTCCCAGGATGTCCAGCCCCGGTACCCGAGCTTGCCTGCACAGTCACAAGGCACACGTGGCCGTCAGAAGCTGGCTCTGGGCTGGGAAGGCAGGCCCAGCCCTGGAGCAGACTGTTCAAGTCAGGGTTGCAGGTCAGAGGCTGAGGCCGTGGGTGGGGGGCGTCTGCTCCCGCCATCCTCCCAGCTCTGGTTGAGGAGGGAGAGGAGAGCACTATACCTGAGGCTGGGACTCGGAGTCCTCCAGTGCTGCACGCAGATCCACTTCTCTCCTGCTCTGGCTCTTAGGCTGTGGAACTGGGGCCTTGGAAGTTGCCTGCTGTGTCCAGGTTCTGTACCGAATGCAAAAGCAAAACCCCTCTGTTATCAGGAAGTCACTTTTCTCCATGCTATTCCTCTAACGATCACATACTGTTTCCCAGAAAGTGCTCCTAAATTATTTAAGAGGAGCCGCCTGTCACCCGTGCATGAAGATCTGACTGTGCACATCCAATTCTAAGGCGCACTTGATCTCCTTCTCTGGGCTTGGGGGGAACTTGACAACAAAGGTTCCTTGCTTGTTTGTTTGGAAGGATTGCCTTTATTTTTTGAGGCCAGGAAATGAGGAGGATTGTTTCCTACAGTGAAATCATGAATCATTTCCTCTAGCCTGGCTTGAGCTGTTGTCCTAATACAATCAGTGAGCAGCAATCGCGGGAATAAAGGAAAAACCCAAATTAATTAGTCGTGGACTTTATCAATGAAACAACGCTCTGGCCTTTCACCGGGAGAGGATGCGCAGGTGAAAGGAAAGAGCGGAAAAAGGGACCGGTGACATTTCAGAGAGAGGACGGCTAAGGGAAGGCAGGCGGGAAGGACCAGACCAGAGTGTGGGGGTCACCGGAGGAGGAGCCGGCGGCGGAGGGGCGGGAGGCCGGGGTAAGAGGCTGCAGGTAAAAATAACCCGGAGAGCCCAGGTGGGATGCATGCAAACTGTTCCTTCAGCACCGCGACTCCCTCCTGTCACCGCAACTGTCAAACAGGCTCCGCTCGTAATGAAAGGAAAAATATTTTATTCAGATTTATTAATTTGAAAATGAAGCCCGCCTGTCGAGAGGGGGACAGTTCTTCTCAATCTGTCATCGTTGAACCACACGCTCCTGACACCGGGATTCATTTGTCTTGTCGGCTCTGACAGTTGGATTCTCCCAGAGCTCTTCCTAGTGGATCGCCCTGGGATTTTAAACCGGATGAAACACATTCCGACAAGGAACAGCCTCTTTATTAATGCAAATTACATGAGGAGGAGAGGAGAAAAGAGAGAAAGGGAGAGCGCCAGGCGCCGCCGCCGTGTTCTTATCCCTGTATCAGTCATTTGTTATTTACATTTATACACATTTTTCAGTTTTAATAAAAGGAGACCCGGATTTTCAGTGACATTTATGGACAGTTTGTTTCAAAAAAATGATGCCATCACTATAATTGTATGCAAAAAAAACCCTGCTCGGCGCTTCCTCTGGTGCGCAGCGTCAGGGCGGCCCGGCCTGCGGGGCGCATGCGGGCAGCGGCTGCTCTGAGGACCACGAGGACCACCGCGACCCTGCAGACGCGACCCTGCAGACCGGAGAGATGCACCGGGGTCGCCCCGCCCCATGTCTTTAGTGCAAAGTCCGAACTACATCCGCAGCTGCCCCGGGTGCCCTCGCCCCGCGGGAACAGGTGTCCACGGGCCTAGGGCCACCATGCTAGCAGTGGCCCAGGAAAATACTTCAATCTTCATTTTTTTAACCAGAAGAAATAATAATGGTTAGCTTAGTGGGACATAATAATAAGCCTGAATTATGTTACTCTTTCTGTCAAAGATCACAGTTATTTTTAAATGGAGGAAGGGGTCCACAGAGGAAAAGGCACCAACGTCCCCAGGTGCCCTGGGGAGTTCCTTTACCTGGTGCCCTAACTAGGAGGTTTAGAGATGCAAATTCTGTGCTTCTGCCTGGAGGAAGTCTTCCTTGAAAGTAGGCAAACAGTGGGCACCTTTCTGCAGCTGTCCCAAGAGCTTGCAGAGAAGGCAGGCCAGGGTCCTCCCCGGAGGAGGAGACCAGAGGAGCCTGCCCTGTGGTTGGAGAACAGGCTCTGTCCACTGGTGGCTGGTGCTGATGTAGCTTGGCCATACCACACTCAGGGCCTGGTTTCTCCAGCCCTGCAAGGGGACCATGGCCTGGGGGCACCTGATGCTCCCCAGATCTCCCACTGAATGGTCCTCAGATTCCTCAGTCCAGCGACTCAATAGTGGGATTTCCTGAGAGCTGACAATTTACAATCTCCCCATAGTATCTGTCCAAAATTCCCCGTGGTGCAGTTGGAAAAGCAAGATCTATAACCAAAGACCAAAGTTCCAGTACAGAATCACTTTTAGCTAAAAGCGGAGCTGGGCAAATGACATTGACCCCTTTGATCCCAGTTTCCTGCTCTGTAAAGCACGAGGGTTAGACTAGATGGTGGGCCTGTGCTTTTGCAAGGAAGTCCTGGTGCCACTGAAGTACAAGAACCACTGGCCTTTAGCAGCTCTGTGATCATGACCCCAAATATGGTGCAGTGTGCCTATGTATTCACAGGACGTCAGGCACAGCCGGCCCTCACACCTGCAGGTTCCACACACACAGACTCAACCAACTGCAGATGGGAAACATTTGAGAAACAAAACTGCATCGGCACTGAACATGTACAGCTTCCTTCTCTTCATTATTCCCTCCACGTTCCAGAGGAGCTATTTACGTAGTATTTACATTACATTAGGTGTCACAGTCGTCTTCAGAGGGTTCACAGCACCTGGGACACACTAAGCCCTCTCCTACAGAGACTTGAGACCCGAGAACGTGGTGGGCATGAGGTGGGGGAGCTCAGGAATCAAGGCCCTGTGACTGTGCAGGGACCATTCTATGCCCATGCTTCAGGATTCGAACTGCACAGGTAAGCTTTGCTATTTTCTGTGAATCAGAAGTTTTTCTTCCTTTTTATTTAGGATCTTCATTTAAAGAGCTTTGAGGAGAAGTTGGAAAGGGTATGAAACTGGGCAAAGGGTTGCTGTTCTCTAAATGCCCTGTGGGCAGCCCTGGTCTTTAAATCCAGACCACCCTCTAAACAAGAAGCACTTTTATCCAAGCACAACAGCCTTAAAGCCGGTAACGCCCTTCACTCTCCCTAAAAACTGGCTTTCCAATTAAACGGAAGGCCAGGACAAGACAAATAACCCAACAGACCAGGAGCATTCTGGTGATGGAGGGTACAATTAATGAAAGCGGGGACGTGGTCTCCCGCCTGGTGAGACCACAAAGACAACACCTCGCCCACAACCACGTGTGAGACCACGCGGGGCCCGTGCACACTCAGCATCGGGGTGCGCAGGCTGCTTAATGATGTCTCCACGGTCCACAGAATTAATATTTAATAGCACTTGTCAGCAAGATTCTGTACAGGTCTGCTCTGCCTTCTTAATGCTTGTTAGTGCTTGTGTCTTCTGGTTGTTCTTCTTCATACCAGAAATATGCTTTCCTTGTGCAGGGTTTGTCTGCCTTTCTACTTTCAATTCTGCATTATCTGGCGGGTCGAAGGAGACAGGGGATATGAAATAGAATTTAAAAACCTTCATTAGTGGCTGTTCCTCCAGAGCCATAAGACACTGGAAAAACAAGGGGTTTTGTTTGTTGTTGTTAGGAGCACGGGACAGTATTCACCAGAACCACGTTTCTCCATTCATGACTACTAGTGTCTCACCGACTGATGAGAGCCAAAGAACTGGGCTAGCGACAGTATGAAGTGGCCAGCTTATGTATGCTGTGGTCTGAATTGAGTGCCCAAAGTTCAGATGTTGGGGACCTGACACCCAGTGACAGTGCTGGGAGACAGGTCCTTCAGGAAGAGACCAGCTCTGGACAGCCGTGGTCTTAAGAAAGCGTTGATGCCATATGGCAGGAGTGGGCGTCTGATCAGAGGATGGGCCTGCCCACCTCCTTCTCTTGTGCACCTGCCCTCCCTAATCACCACACCACACCTTCCACCGTGACGTGAGGCGGCAAAGTGGCCTCCTCCGATGCTGGCACCTTGATGTCGGACTACCTGGCCTTGAGAACTGCAATACATAAGCTTCTTTCTATGTAAATCATCCAGTCTCGGTATTATGTTACAAAAGCACAAAGCAGACTAAGCATCTTGCACAGAGATGTAATTTCATTTTGACTTTCTATTTCAAAGTTTTTTATCCTAATTCTAAAAGAAACATTGTACTGTGATATTAAAGTGAAAACAATTATCAAGTTATGTCTAAATCCCATGTTTATAGTTGGAAATTCCTGGAAATTTTGTCTTATGTAGGATGTTATAAATCAGAAATCACGCTGGGCTAAGTGTGTGATTGGGGTCTACGACAGACAGGATCCTAACTTCCTCTTTACCCTGCTTCAGTCTCACTGTAGCTTGCATGGAACTCAGAAATTATAGAAACAGGTTGAAATCCCTAATCCAAAGATTTGAAATCCAAACTTCCCACAAATCTGAAACGCAGTGAGCATCAACACAGAGACCTCACATGGTGGGCCACAGTTAAAATGCAGGCGCCCTAAAGATACTGTGCAAAATGAACCGCAGGCTGTGTGGGGTGCACAAGAACCACAAAGGAGTGCTATGCTTAGAATGTGACCCATCCCCAAGATATCTCATTATATAAATGTACAATAATCCAAAATCCAGGAATGTCTAAAACCCAAACCACTTCTCCTATGAATTTTGGATAAAGGATGCTCCATCTTCTCCTGCCTGGGATGCTCCACCTGATCTTCCTAGGGTGCTCCACCTG